GCTTTAGAGACCTGTAGAATAATCCTGACTCCTGAAAACTGGGTGCGGGACCAAGAGAGGGGCTGCCCAATACCCTCAGCAGCTTGCTGCACAGAGGCTACATGGAGAGCGCTGTTAGAGGGAATTAGTGTTTCAAGTCTGCCTTCTTACTGCCGTGCAACTTCTTAGGCAAGTCCCAGTTCCAGCAGTCCTTCACCTACATGGACATTCCTGATGAACTACCACCAGGGCTTTTCCTAAAACCTCTTTCAAAGCAACCAACATGTGCCTTCATTTTTTTTCTCCTTCCCTCTGTGTTTTCTCTTCTTTCCGCTTTCAGCTCTTGCTCCTGCCATTTTGTGCCCATGATGTTGTGAAAATTTTGGACCAGAATCCACCTGCATGGACAGCATGCTTTCCCTCACCATCTTGTCTCTAAGCTTTTTGGTCTTCTTCTCCTGAGCACTAAAGGACCTTCCTTGTGAAATGGACAAATCAAGGCCAATGAGCATAATCACCAGTGTAAAAATGTTTGAGAGGTTTTATGTAGGAAAAATAATTTGGAAAAAATGATATTGTAAGATAGATCTTGACAAATCAGTTAAAAAATGTTTTTCAAACATTTTTAAAGGATTTACACGGAGGTAGCAGTAGGGAAGAGGGAATTGAAAAGGCCAAAGGATAATTTACTCTAAAGGACAAAAATGTTAGGTTATTCAAAAAATATTTTTTTCTCCTACTTCAGTGCCAGGAACATCTGGCCTTGGGGAACGTTTAGGAAAGAGGCTCTCAGATGCTGTTGTCATTATTGAAAACTTAAGGAGGGAGGGAAAAAATAGAATCCTGGATTTTTAGAAATAGAGGGGGCCTTCAAGGATTAAATCTCCTCATTTTTAGATTTGGAAACTGAGGCTCAGAAAGGCCAGGTGATTAGTGAGAATAGTGAGTGTAGACCCAGGCGTCTAACCCCATCATGGGTCACCAGCTCCAATGCTGAGGGGTCTCAAGGACTTGGAATCTGCATTTAGTTGCCCCCCAGGTATCTACACAGGCTAAATCCATGCCTAATGGGAGAAACCAAGAGGCTGAGGAGTTTATGAACTCCCAACACTCCAGCTAAGTGACTTTTACTCAATACTGGAGGACAGCACAGCAATGTGTATAATATAGGGGTTGGCGAAAGGTTTACAGTTGTTCATATGGAAAATAATACAATTAATAGATGGTAATACAAGAATAAACTCTGTATATTACATACTCACAACTGTAAACCTACTTGTGCCCCACCCCTGAATTACAAGTAAACACCTACTCCACCCTTCCTAGAAAAAGTTTGTGAATGGTGATGGTCCCCAGGGAGCAAAAAAAGATGGTCTCCAGGGAGAGGACAGCTCAGAAAGGAAAACTTCCCAGGGGCTATCCAGGATGACCAGCCAGAAGGAGACACCCTGAATCTTGTGGACATGAATATGGATTAAGAGGAGTTGTCCATTGTGATGTGTGGGGGAATATCAGGGCTCACTGTGGTCCAGAGTAAGTAGCCTTCAAGCAGCTTATTCATCCTTAGCTATGATTCCAAGATTTTTGAACCACCTGCTAAACACTAAGTCTGCTTTCTGGGTACCATTATCTCAGAAGAGTGCATTCTGGACAATGGACATGGTCACTAGAAAGAAACAACATCATCTACGAATTTTTGTGTGCCCAGCAGCCCCTTGGGAATTTGTAATATGGGGCAGTCATTCTGAGTCTGATCCCTCAGAACAGATAAAAAGGAGGTTTTGTGACCTCTAGGACAAAGTCCCTGCGCTGGAAGTGTGACGATCTGCCCTCCCTGGTCATGCCACTTTTAGGGGGTCTTTCCTAGGCAAACAGCAGCATCTCCTCAGTGTCAGTCCTTCTTCTTTGTCACTCCTTCTCAAAATATCACAAGCATTATAAAAAGAAGAAAATGATATAGTATGTGAGACCTACTATTGGACACCACAAGGTCCTTTTTGGACAGTGGATGTTTTATGTGGGGTTTTTTTTTTTGGCATTTTCTCTTAATTCAGAAATATTTTTGAGTGCCTTCCATGTGGATCTTCCATGTTAGCTGGGGGATTTGGACAATAGCAATAAACGTAGTAAAATTATGTTAGGTAATATGTTACAAGGTTAGAAAGTAGTAAGGACTGTGGAGAAAGAAGTACAGCAGGGTAAGGAAGAGCAGGCGCTCAGTGGCGGGTGTATGGATTTAAGTGGTGTGGTTAGGGCGACTGTTGTGGACAGGGTGGCATTTGAGTGAAGAGTTAGAAAAGGTCAGAGCATTCTCCTTGCAGGTACCTGGGTAGAAACACAAGGGCCTGAGGCAGGAGCATGCTTGGCATAGTCAAGGAGCCAGGGTGAGTCGGGCAGAGTAAGTGAGGAGGAGACACATAGGCAGTGAGATCCTGGAGGGACTTGTAGGCCACTGTAGGACTCTGACTTTTCCCCAGAGGGAGGGCAAGCTTTGGGAGGACATTGCGCAAAGGAGCGACAATAACCTGGCCTTACACTTTAAAGGACTTGTCTGTAGGAGAGAAAAGAAGAGAGAGACCCGTTAGGAGGCTACCACAGTACTGGGGTGAGAGACAATGGTGGCTTGGACCAGGTGGCAGTGCTAAGGGGTGTTGAGAAGTAAACAACAACACCACCCCTTGGTTATTTTGAAGGTAGAAACAACAAAATTAACCATAGGCTTGAACAATAATAAATAGAAGAGGGAGTCAAGGAAGACCCCAAGGATGGTGACCTAAGCAAAGAAAAAATGGAAATGCCATCAAACTGAGATGGGGACAGATGTAAAGTAGAGCAAATGGCTGGAGGAGAGATATATGGAATTTGCTTTGGGATATGTTGAGTCTGAGATGTCTGTTAGACATTACATGGAATTATTGAGTAGGCAGTTGCATATACATGTCTAAACATAGGAGTTAGAATCCTAGAAGTTAACCTTTCTTAATGGTTTTAATGATTTAATATTATTTCTGAATACATCTGTAGCTTATAAAACTCCTATAAAAAAACATGGAATGGGACTTATTCACTGTTATGTTCATTTGGGTAAACAAGAGAAGGGTGAGGATTTTTGTTTTAGGCCTTGCCTTTCACTGCTTTAGCCCCAGGGATTCCATCATTCTTATTTTAAGGAAAAAAAAAAAAATGCAAGGCAATTGAAGAAAATATTATGAAGTTTTCTTCTTTTTTTAAGTATATTTTATTGATTATGCTATTATAGTTGATCCCAATTTTTCCCCTTTTACACCTCTCCGCCCAGTACCCCCGTTCCCTCCAGTGATTTCCCCCGCCCCCCGCCACACACACCTTAGTTCATGTCCATGGATCATGCATATAAGTTCTTTGGCTTCCCCATTGTCTATACTGTTCTTAACATTCCCCTGTCTATTTTGTTCCTACTCAGTTATGCGTCTAAATCCCTATACCTTTCCTCCCATTCTCCCTCTTCCCCTTCCAGCTGATAACCCTCCAGATGATCTCCATATCTATGATTCTATTGCTGTTCTAGTTGTTTGCTTAGTTTTTATTTTTTAGATTCAGTTGTTGATTGTTGTGAATTTGTTGTCATTTTACTGTTCATAGTTTTGATATTCTTTTTCTTAAATAAGACCCTTTAACATATCATATAATAAGGGCTTGGCGATGATGAACTCCTTTAGCTTTACCTTGTCTGGGAAGCACTTTATCTGTCCTTCAATTTTAAATGATAGCTTTGCTGGATAGAGTTATTTTGATTGTAGGTCCTTGCTTTTCATCACTTTGAATATTTCTTGCCATCTTCTTCTTGCCTGCAAAGCTTCTTTTGAGAAATCAACTGATAGTCTTATGGGAACTCCTTTGTAGGTAACTCTCTGCCTTTCTCTTGCTGCTTTTAAGATTCTCTCTTTATCTTTAACCTTTGGCATTTTAATTATGATGTGTCTTGGTGTGGACCTTTTTGGGTTCAACTTGTTTAAGACTCTCTGTGCTTCCTAGACTTGAATGTCTATTTCCTTCACCAAAGTAGGGAAGTTCTCTTTCATTATTTTTTCAAATAAGTTTTTACATTCTCCCTCTTCCTCTCCCTCTTCTCCTTCTGGTATCCCTATGATTCAGATGTTGGCCCTTTTGGAGTTGTCCCAGAGTCTTCTTAAGCTCTCCTTGTTTTTTTGAATTCTTGTTTCTTCATTTTGTTCTGCTTGATTGTTTATTTCTTCCTTATGTTCCAAATCATTGATTTTGAAGCCTGGCTTCCTTCCCTTCACTGTTAGTTTCCTGTGAATTTTTCTTTACTTCCCTTAGTATATCCTTCATTTCTTTCCTTATTCTTTTGCCATATTCAATGATTACCTTTGAGTATTCTGACCACCAGTGTTTTGAATTCTGCGTCTGATAAGTTGGCTCTCTCTTCACCGCTTAGTGCTTTTTCTGGAGTTCTGTTCTGTTCCTTTATTTGGGCCATATTTGTCTCCTCATTTGACAGCCTCCCTAGTGCAGTCTGTGTAGGAGGTAGAGGTAGGGCCACTTTGATTTCCTGTCCTAGTGCACCAGTTAAGTTGTATGGGGCGGAGTATCGGGTCTTCTCCAGGGTGGAGCAACCTGCTTTGCCGCTTGGAGGCTCGGGGTTGTGGCGTGGGGGTCGGGGGAGGTTCAAAGAGGGGCCAGTGCCACTGCTGGCTGACTTCTGGGGGCTTGCCTGGTGCTCACCCCTTTTCCAGTCACCTCACTCATTCCCGCATGTGACTGGCACCCCTGCCGTTGCTGACTGGGTGGCGGTTCTCAGAGTGGGTGGGTTTGCGCACGTATGTTCCGTACGTTCCGGGCTCTCCTGTGAAGCCGGCGGTTCCTTCCGCCGACCCCACCCTCACTGGGTTTACAGCGAGAGGTTGTGAGGCTCTATTTTCCCAGCGCTGGAATCCTGGGCAGCGCAGTCTGGCTTGGGGCTCGGATCCCTCACTCACGAAGTGTCCCGCTGATTTTTATCCACCTGTCGGCGAATGTAGGACCGCCAGTTCCGCCAGGCGCCTCTTGCCGCTCCCAGCTCACCACCGCCACGCCGCGTCCTCTCCACCAGGACTCCTCATCGTCGCCCCTCCTACGTGTTTGGGTGAATATAGCTTCTTTAAATCCTTGGTTGTTGGACTTTCTGTACAGTTTGGGGTGTTTTTCTGGGTGATTTTCTGGCAGTCTGGGTGTTTTTTGTTTTTAAGTTAGTGTTCCTTCTTATGGTTGTACAGTGAGGCCAAGTATGTCTACCTGTGCCTCCATCTTGACCAGAAGCCCTGTTTTCATCTTTTAATATTTATGTAAATGTTATCTCAATAATTAAAATTTCATTTATTGTCATTGAATCAGCTAGTTATAAAAATATTAATGAATTTATGCTGGTTATTTTCTTGGGGAAAGGAGATATGCTATCTTCATTCAGTAGGGAGCATTCTCAGTTCTCACGGGTTGGATCTGAGTCTGTACAAAATTTACCTTTTGACCTCTTTTAATTCACCTTCTGTCTACTTTTTAGTTAGCATAAGTAAACAAAAGGGATCTATTTTTAAAACACCTAAATTAGTACACTGGAATAACACGGCAATTCCTACCCCAAACAGAAACTAGAAGTTTTTATTCTCAATCTTACACCCAGTTTATAAGATGAGCACCTATCAAACTTGCCTTTATCTCATTAGACTCTCTACCAGCCTATGAGGCAAGCACTATATGAGCCCCATTTGCAAACATGGACATTCCCTCAGAGGGATGAAGTGTCTGGATCACAGTTCTCAGAGCCAGAATTCAGACCCAGGACTATCTGTATGCAAAGCCTGACTCTAATTCCCAGAAACATGGAGCAAAGTAAGACCAACTAGAGCATTTCAGTTATATAAAGTAGACCAAGAGACAATGCAGAATGACCTCTTTTATGACAAACCTTCATCATTGGGCTCTTGTCAAAAATTTCAGGTAGTTGCTAAACCAATCCTTGATATGAAGAGGGTTTGTGAAAAAGTCTGGCTTTTGGTGTTTTTTGTTTTTGTTTTTTTTTGCCTCTACCCCATAGAGTGGTGGGGCTACTTGGGTGGTATGACACCTATGGACTGAAAACCTGCCCCCAATCAAACCCTTAAGGAAGCACCCGACCATCTCTTGCATAGAAATCTATTGGTGCCAGCCGGCAGCAGCTCCAGGCTGCTCCGCGAGGGTGCCGGGGAGCCAGAAGACTGCAGCCAACCAGCCCAGGGAGACCTGAGTTGGGAGTTCTGGGAGCCTCAAAAGTGGTTCAGGAACTGGAGGCACTGACCCCAGTTCAAGGCTCGGAAAGGAGGGCTCTGTTCCCATAGTACAAGCCAGACAGTGTGCTGAAGAGCAACAGGGTCAGCTCCCACGCCAATAAACCTCCATGGGGATCCTTGGGAGGAACAGCCCTCACCTCAGCAGTTTGCAGGGGTATAGCCTTGCTGGTCACTAAAATATTGGGGTGCTTCAAAACTACTTGTTGAATCATCACCAATCTGAGTCAACCCTGTGCACTCTCAGGACCCCTAAGACCTGTCTTATAATTTGGACAACTAAGGTTTAGTGCCGGGCAGTGCGGGGTGCTCCAGGACCCTGCTCCAGCATCAGACATTGTTCTGATTGGTTAGCACCTATGCCTTATTGGCTGTTAAATATTTTGAACGTAACTCCGTCCCACCTGCAATAAAATGAAACACTGAAGGCACTTCTGTGAGCAGGTGATGACAAACCTTGATTGGGGTCCAGGAGGGCAAAATTTAAACCTATAATTGCATCGCAGGTTCACTGGTTCTCTGATAAGGACCTGTTGATAGCATCCCAGACTATTCTTCACTATCTAGAAAGAAAATTCCTACAGTGGTTTTAACTGGAAAGGTAATAAGCAGAGGTCAAGCAGAGCCTAGGAAACATAATTTTGATTCATGTTTTCAGAGGCCCTAAGTTTAAGAAAATTGAATTTTTCAGGAATACAACATCTTCCTACTTGCTTTCTACTCCAATCCTACCTGTCACTAGAGAAATGGTTACTGCTTTGAAACATGACTTGCTTGCTTCCATAGATCAGTTGGTAACCACTTGCCCAGAGGAGGTGAAAGGTTCATATAAGCCGAACTCCACTAATCCTGATTTATTAGTGCCAAACACTTGCCTTTTGCAGCTGTGGGAACAGTTTTCAAGTCGATGTATTTCTGAGCTGAACTAGCAGTACTACACGGCTTAAAAAAAAAAAAAAGGAATCTTTCACAAGTGCAATGGTGGATGTCAGGGGAATGTGAGGAATCCTTGTGCCCATCCTCAAAGCAGTAAACTGATTTTTAGGTGGTGCAAGTCAAGATATGCTGAGTCCTTTAACATCGGGTTTATTTTTACACTTGAACACTGTGAACTGGATGGGGAAAGTAATGCATCTTAGTCTCCACTAACATCTAATTGAAACCTTGCATTTCCTTTAATAAGGAGTGTAGGCAACAAAACGCAGTAAGACTAGCAGCACTTGTGACATCAACGCCAGCAGAAGTCGTAGACTCTGATTATCCAAATTTGTATTTCCATACATAGACCTGTATCTTGCCAGATCTCAAGCTCAATGTGTGCAAATCCCTTCCCACCAAAACCCGGACCTCCTTTCTTCCCCATCTCATGAATGCCACCCATGTCTAATCAATCTCTGTGTCTTATTTCTTCCTATTAAATATTGCTCAGATCCATCTTCTCTTTTATATTTCCCTTGCCTCTTCCCTAATTTAGACCTTCAAAGCCTGTGGGCTGAGCTGATAGGGATGTCTCTTGCCTTCCAAGTCTTTGGTTTTTCCCCATGCTGTCATCAGAGTGAGCCTGATAAAGCACAAATTGTACCACGGTAGCACTCCTTAAACATCTCATGGGACCCCAACATCTCCAGGCAGAAGTCCAAGTTCCTAAATACTGCCTACCCCAGAGTACCTCCTCAGTCTCACCTCCATTGGCCCCCATGTTTCGGCCACATCTGATGAGCAGTCTTCCTCTCTCACTGCCTGCGAAGCTCTTCTCCCTCTCTGCCCAGTAGACGGCTTTCAAGCGCAGGTGCGACTCCTGTGTCTCCAGCTCTGGGAAACCTTCCATATCCATTACTGTACTGATCCCGCAGCACCTTGTGCACCTGTCACCACCGGTCACATGCAGTTTGCTTATCTGCGCATACATCTTCCTGCCCACCACCCGCAAGAAGGGATCCCTTGTTTCTTCAGGGTCCTTTCCCCTGTTACGCCAGCACCCAGCACAGTGCCTGGACACAGTAGATTCTTGGTAAATGTAGGCTGGATAAGAAGAGAATAGATCAATGCTGAATATTTTAATAGTTCCAGGGAAAAAGTTGTAGATTTAAACAGGGATCTTAAGAATAGTCCTTAGATATGAATTTTTGCTTTTGTCTGGAAAACAGTTTATTCTAACTTCGTGTCATGAAGATAAAATCAAGTTTAGAACAATAATGGTTTCTTTTTTCAAATATATTCTTATGCTTCTTTTTTCCTTTATACTTTTACTTTGATGACAGTGGTTTGTTGATTGCATTAGGTTGTCAACTCATTCTAAAATGACTCACAGAAAGAGTCATTTTCGCAAGAAAACTATATTCTAGTTCTTACTTGGATACGTTACTCAGGTCACTTAACCTCTCCAAGCTTTGGTTACTGAAACAGTTTGCTCATTGGGCTCCAGTAATTTCCATTACTAAAATTCTAAAGCAGTTTAAGGCTTCAAAGGCTTGAACTTGAAGACTGCTGATGATAGGCTTGTTTCACTGTTGTTTGTAAGCGGCCCTTGTGAAATTTTACTCAGTAGCATGAGTTCAAATATATGGTCTCTTCTGACCCAGTGAAGAAACCAAACTAAGATAAATATTTTTTTAAAACTATAATATTCAGTGTTGGCAAGCATGTGGTGAATGGAGCATTCTTTTAAGATGCCAGGGTTAGTATCCAAGGCTTCCCAGGGAGCCATTCACACTACATAGCAATCGCTTAAATTCTTTGATCCAATACTTCTGTTTCTATAGTTTATTCTATAGCATAATCCTAACTGAGCATAAAAATTTGTATGTAAGAATACTGATATTAGGGTATTTGTAAAAGCAGAGTAAGAGATAAATAAATGGCCAGTAATAGAGGAATGTGAAATAAATTTTGGTTTAGAAAATCATGTTTTCAAAGAGTATTTAGTGGCATGAAAGATTGACAAAAACTGGGTTCAAAACTACATGCATTGGAATACTAATTTTAAAACATTTTATATATATAAAGACTAGAAGGAAATATTCCAAAAAGTTAACAATGTGTATTTCTACCCAGTCAGATTACAGGTGATTTATCTTCTTTAAACTTACTTGTGTTCACCATTTTCCACAATAGGCTTATGCTATTGTCACAGTTCAGAAACAGTAGTTTAAAGTGTACTCACACCTGTCAGAATGGCTATTAACAAGAAGACAACAAATAAGTATTGAAACGGGTGTGGGAAAAGGGGAACCCTCGTGCACTGTCGGTGGGATTGTAAATTGTTGCAGCCACTATGACAAACACTTTGGTGGTTCCTCAAAAAATTTAAAGTGGAACTACCATATGACCCAGCAATTTCATTTCTAGGCATTTACCTGAAGAAAACAAAGACACTAATTCAAAGATATTTGCACCACTATAATCTTAGCATTATTTACAATAGGCAAGATATGGAAGCAATCTAGGTATTCACCCATTGATGAATTGATAAATTGATATGTGGTTATATGCCCTGGCTGCTGTGGCTCAGTGGATTGAGTGCTGGCCTGCAAACCAAGGGGTCGCTGGTTCGATTCCCAGTCAGGTCACATGCCTGGGTTGCGGGCCAGGTTCCCAGTAGGGCACGTGTGAGAGGCAACGACATATTGATGTTTCTCTCTCTCCCTTCTACTCTGTCTGAAAATAAAGAAATAAAATCTTTTTAAAAAAATTAAAAAGAGAATATGTGGTTATAGATATACAACAGAATATTATTTAGCATGATTAAATCTTGCTTTTTATGACAACACAGATGGACCTAGAGGGTATTATGCTAAGTGAAATAAGTCAGACAGAGAAAGAC